GAGGTTTGGTTCTGTGTATGCCCATTAGGTCTAGTAGTTTTAGAATGTCACAGGCCTCTTTCCGTATTGACTGCCTGTCAGGCTGCATCCAATATTAAACAGGCAATGTTGATATGGTCAACTATTATTGTGGAAATTTCCTGCTTAATATGTTTGGGTCTTTATTGTTAGGTTCACATTTATAAATGATACATTTTCATGCTTTTACCAATATGAAATTTCCTTGTCTCTTTTAACCCTTTTTGATGTAAAGTCTGTTTTGGTTAACAGTAATATAATGGAATATAAAAAGAGATACGGAAAAATCCCACTATCTTTTAATTCCATTTTTTTCTTTCAAATTTTTTGAAGTTCCCTTATAGAGCTACTTCCAACTATTTTTTGGTTACTGTTTGCATGGAAAATCTTTTAATCTTTTACTGTCAAGCTCTGTGCCCTTATATCTAAAGTGAGTCTCTTGTAGACAGCATATAGGTAGTTTCTCTTTTGGTTTTAATCCAATCTACCAAGCTCTACTTTAAATGCAAGGGCTTAATCCGTTTACATTTACAACTGTTATATTTATCAGTTACTGATAAAAAAACGATTTAACCCTGCCCTTTAGCTATTTGTTTTCGGTATATATATATTTTTTTTGTTTCTCCATTCTTTCGTAATTGCTCTTTTGTATTTAGTTAGATTTTTTGGTAGTGTTTAATTTAGATGTCCCTCTTATTTTTGAAAGGAGTCCTGGTCGCATGGTGGCTTGTGTGTTGGGTTGCTGATCTCAAGGTAAACGTTTCAAACCCACCATTTCCTCTGTGGGAGAAAATGAGGCTCCTGTAAAGATTTACAGCCTTGGAAACTCACAGGGCAGTTTTTACTCTGTCCTATAGGGGCACTAGGAGTCGGAATCAACTTAATGTGATTTGTGTGTGTGTGTGTGTGTGTGTGTGTGTGTGTGTGTGTGTACACCCCCCATATACACGTTTATATGTTACATTCTTAATGGTGATTGCAATTAACATCTTAAATTTAAAACACTGTAGTTTGAATAATATCAACTTAGTTTCAGTAGTATACATTGCTCATACACCACCATGCGTTTCTGTATATTTTTATGTTGTAAGCTGATTAACATAAATATGTAACTTGTTTATGCATATACCTTTTAAATCATGTAGGAAGAGAGCACAGTAATACTTTGTAAGCTGCCTTACTAGTGTTCTTTTATTTTTCTTTGCATTGAGTTACTTCCTGAGGCTTTTTTATCCGTGAGGATTACTTTCAGCTTTTTTTGTAGGCCAGCTCTACTGCTAGTAAACTCCTTCAGCTGGTTTATGTGGAAATGTTTTAGTTTCTCCTTCCCTCTCGAAGAGTAGCTTTGTGGGATATTGAATACTTAGTTGACAGTGTATTTTACTTCAGAACTTTAGCTACCCCATCCCACCGCTTCCTGATCTCCACCATTCCTAAGGAGAAATCAGTTGCTAATCTTAACTGGGGATTCCTTGTATGTGATAAGTTACTTCTGCTTGCTTTCAAAATTCAGTTTCTGACATTTGATTTTCAACAGTTGGATTATGATTTATCTCAATGTGTATCTTTTTCTGTTTATCTTTCATGGCATTTAATAAGCTTCTTGACTGTGTATGTTCATTGCTTTTAACAAACCAGGGAGTTTTCCAGCAGTATTTCTTCAAGTATTTTTTGTGCTCCCCACCCTCCTTTCCTCCCTTTTCCTCCTCATTGCCAGCCAGTCAATTTGGACTCAGAGCTACAGGGTGTTCCTGTGCGTTTCTGAGACTAGATCTTTACAGGAGTAGAAAGTCTTGTCATTCTCCCTCAGAGTGGCTGGTGGTTTCAAACTGCTGAGCTTTCGGTTAGCAGCTCAATGAGTAGCTCACTGTGTCCCCAGGGCTCCAGGACTTGTATAGTCTGTGAATTTTGCCTGCTGATCCCTGCTTTTTGTTGCTGTGGGGCCAGCTGAGAGGCAGGCTAGTGTTTTAATACCCCCCACCCCCCCCAGGGGTGAGGCAGTTTTCTGGCCACAAATATATACGTTGAACACTTGACGGGGTTCCACCATGTCTCTCAGGCGCTTTTCCGTATTTCATGTAGTTCTTTATCCATGAGGCCCTTTAGCTCACAGAATTTATTGTAAGACAGCTGACTTAATGTCTGACCAATAATTCCAATGTCTGGGCTTTCTTGGGAATGCTAATGAGCTGTACCATTTTTATGTTTTGTAATTTTTGTTGCGAACTAGGCATTTGAATACAACCTTGTAACTCTGATATCTAATTCTTTTGCTCTTTAGGGATTGTTGATATTTTTCCTTGTTGAAATCTAGTGTGGTCCATTTGTGATTTTTCTAAAGTATTTTTGCCATATATGTTTATTGTGTATGGTCACTGAAGTCCTTATTATCTCTGTGGACAGCAAGTGACCTAATACAGATTTCCCTCTGTGTATGGCTTCCAAAGGGAAAAGGACAAAAAGGGGCATTGTCTATTTATTTATTTTATTAAATACTTTTATTGGGGGCTCTTACATCTCTTATCACAATCCATACATTCATCCATTGTGTCAAGCACGTTTGTACATATGTTGCCATCATCCTTTTCTTTTTTTTTTTTCTTTTAAAAAAATCATTTTATTTGGGGCTCATACAACTGTTATCCCAATCCATACACACATCAATTGTGTAAAGCGCATTTGTACATCGTTTCTCAAAACATTTTCTCTCCATT